GGGTGGGGGGGCCAGGGGGTTGAAAGGTGTCCTATCCCAGAGCATGGGGACTCACCTTCATGGGCTTTCTGCTCTCCTTCTGTCGTAGGTGCAGCCTGGGACCACTGAGAACGAAACAAAGAGTCAAAAGCTTTGGCAGGGCAGGGACAGAGGCAGCCACCAAAGTGCAAAGGCCAGGCCGCTGACTCCCTTGACCCCCTCTTGCCTCTCTCCCAACCCCCAGCCTTCAGCTTCTCCATTGCTTCTGAGGCAAACAGGAACAGTTAGGGGTCCCTTCAGGTCCACTACCCCAGGACTGCTTCAAGTATGAACCCATGGAAGTTAAAGACTAACCAGGTGCTAGGGAACTCACAATGCAGGAGGGGACATCAGAACCCTGTGATGTCCAAGCCCCTAGCACCTCTCATTCTTGCCCTCTCCTTACTGCCCCTGATTCCCTGGTCCAGAGCCATGGGTAAGCATTAAGGTCAAATAGGAGGACAAATTTGGACTGGAGCAGGAAGGACTAGGGGCGAGAAAAACAGCATGGTGACCTTCTCCTGCTGACATGACAAATACCAGGGTGAGCTGGTGTTGAAGAGGGAGGGGGTGCAGAGGACCGAAGGGCACCAGCTACCCTCCCCCATCCAAACCCTTCCCAGGCCTCAGGGACAGTCAGCATACCCACAGGTTGCTCAAGGGGTGAAAAGCTGGAAGACCCCGAGGAAGGGCGTCCTGTTTCCCTCCCACTCAATCTGCCTAGAGCCTGAATGCAGTGCCAAAGCCTGGCTAGCCACATCCCCAAGCCTCTCACCTAGGCAGAGCCCTCTGCTCAAATGTAGACATGGAAACCTCCTCAGAACTGCCTAGCTCCCAATGGGTCTCTTGCTCCACCATGGGCCTGAGCCCCCCATCCTTCCTCAACCCCTCCAACTCCTTTCCCCCCTCCCCCAAAGCTGTGAAGGTCAACAAAAAGGCCATGCGAACCTGACAGTAGCAAGCAAGTGAAGGCTCCTAGGCCTTCCTGGGGGGTCTCCTGCTCCTACCAACTCCCCGGTCACATGTTCTACACCAACCTGGACCTCCAACTGCCCTGAGAAGGATTCCCACCCTTGGCCTATCTCTCTTTCTCTCTAACAACAGTCCCCAAATAGCTGTCCTTCCAGGGCCCTCAGCCTTGCCACCAGGGCCAAGGTCAGAGGTGGCCCTTCTCAAGAGATAGCCTCCCATTGCTGCTACCTCAACAGGCCCTGGATTTTGCTCCTCAGGCCCTCCACTACTGGTTCAACACCCTCATGACATTCTTCCTTAGGCTTCTATCTCAGCCCCAATGGAGAAAGGAAGAGAAACTTTGAACCCCCTCCCAGATGGGGAGGTTCTAGGCAGGGACTGGCCAGGTGCCCTTCTCTGGGGGCCTCTGAAGGTCATACTGTGGCCAGGCACTCCTGCCCTTCCTCCCCACATGGAGGCCCAGAGCCAAGGCCTTTGTGCCAGGGTCTGAGGAACTCTGGAGAGTGGCAGGGACCCCTGCCTGTCTTCTTCCTTCTGCCCCCTTTCCAAGTAGGCTCTCTGAGTATTAGTGGGAAAGGGCAGAGAAGGTCCCCTTAACAAGCGAACTGGGTGGGCAAGTTCAGAGTTAAACCACCTGCTCTCTGAGCTGTGGGTTTGCCAGGACAAAGTGTGTGAGAGATACTGACAGGACAGCCTGCCAAAGGTGTGGGAAAGGCTAGTTTCAGGCTGCCCCTGTCATAGCAAATATCAAGTCATTTTCCCAAAACGGGGAGAGTGGGGTGATGTCAGTCTACCCTTCACTGACCCCCATAAAAGGTGGAGCACAGCTCACTAGAGCTGCTGGGGAGGGGAGGGGAACACACCGTCACCAACTCAAAACTTAGGTTAGCATTGCCACAAAGAACCTGAGGGTGGGCCCCAGCAGCCCCATGTCTGACAGTCACCGTCCTTTTTTCTGGACCCGGGGTCCAGAAAGGGTTCTAGAAGTCCTCTCAACGAGAAGGGAAACATAAAAGGGTGGGAAGGGCTTCTCTACACACCAGGCAGGAAATGGGGAAAAGGGGGAAGGGGCGTCGGAAATTCTTCCTAGTGCAAGGCACGGGTAGAAGTTGGGGACGGAGGAAAAGGGTATGGGAGTTTCTCCGGGTCACGGAGCTGGGGATACCTCTAGAGGTCACCTTCCTTGCGGAGGGCCGGCGGGGGGGAGGGGCACCGCT